GGAATGGTGCCTCAATGAGAAATAGAACCTTAATTAAGAAGCCTTAACGAGAACCCGGCGGATGAAAACCCGTCCCGTCAGGACCGGACATTTACGGTCAGGAGAAGTCAGAGGCATTTACAGATGACGTTATTCTGGGGACGATAAAACCTGCCGTAAACTTTCCCTGCGTCTTTACTGACCGACTACTGTGTAGATGACGTAGTTTGGTAGGTAGTCATGTGGTTAGGGTTGTTGACTTGGGTTTTAAAGGTTCTGGGATCTAGCAGGATCCAAATGCTGTGCCCCTGGGAAAGGCATGTACATGTATCACACCTATTTCCTCATTCGGCTCAGATAGATCTTTAAAAAAAGCGTATGGCCATAGAACAAACAAAAACTGACCGCTACCAATGTACCAGCGTACTACCACTGCCAATGTAACAAATATTTGACAGTAGTAAAATGTTGAACTTTATTCCAACAGAACGAGTATAGACTACAGAGAGTTTTTCAACGACCACTGTCGCCTTCATGAGGATAATTAACTTTAATCACTCTCTATACTCGTTGTGTTGGAATATAGTTCAACATTTTACTATGATTATTACCAACACAGATGGATTTTCATTATATATATATTTGACATATTAACGTGGTCCATTGTAATCTACCTAAACCCAAACAAAATTAGCACCAGGACAAACCTTCCCAAATGTGTGTATTGATCTGCCCAGCCCACTTCCTACACCATTACAAAGCAGTTACTGCAAAATGGTAGCAAGATTATCGTAAGATCAATGCATTGTAGATGGTAAAACACACATATCAGGATTTACCTTAGGCCACACCAATTTAATTTGTTGGTTCTCGGATTCCCCTCTTCATTTTGCTTTCTGATTCTGGTTCTGAATCGTGATCAACTAAAAAAAATGCTCATATTTTGCCCCCAACAGTTGAGGAAAGCCTTTTACTTCCTAGTTGCTCCAGTTTTTCCCTCTATCAATGTATTGGTTTGATTAAAAGTTCAAAAGTCATTGTTTAGATATTAACCCAGCAAAAAAGCAACAACAGATGTCAATCTAAGGCCAGAAAGGTAAATGAAAAATAACGTTGTTTACAGATACATAAAGCCATATAATCAAATCACGTTGTTTGTTGAACGGCGTTATCTATTCTCTGAATCTCCCTTTATCGCATTAGCAAAGACACATGCGGAGATGTATGGAGATATGCAGCATTCATTCCGTGATCCATTGCAATGCAACCGTCTGATGTGGAGATATGACTACTCTCTCGCGGAAAGACTGACAACCAAAAAGAAATTCAACAAAGCCTTAGAAGCGTGATGGATAGCAACTATCTAAGACCTGACGGGTAACGTATATCATTACATGTTTTATATGTGATAAAATGTACATCATCATCCTAGCAGATTCTTATGTTACGAATGTATATGCATCTAAAATGTTGCGAATCTGGTATTACAGGTAAAAGCGTTCTAGGATGAAAAATAACCTCCCTGGCCAATTGAATATCGATTTATTTTGCAGCTCTGCGTTTCTCCGAAGATATCCCGAAAGATCTGAGTTCCTGATTGTTGTTTTGATCGATGATCCGCAGATACGTTACGTGTTCCGTGCTAATTGACTTCAGTCCACACAGGAGAGAACGAACGTGTGTCCGCTCCCTAGGCAAACTCCAGACAGCCCTGACCTAGTGATGCGGACTGCGTACTACCATTACCGGTTCAGTGCCTGACTACAGTACATATCAATTCAACTGTACTGTACCTGCATGGACTTGCATTCAAGCCTCTTGACGTATTATATTGCTAAAAACGCGATATTCTTGGACCAATGATGGCAATTTAGAAAAGTATGACAACACATATACACGGATGTTAAAATCAGCACCATTTTGATTCAAGATACTTTCGAAAGCATGGATTCTCTGCATAAGAAACCTGATCTACATAGAATTACTTGATCTGTTTTTAGGTTTCTGTCATGATTCAAGATCACAGGTTACTTTGTAAAATTGTTCAGGTACAGATACAAGTCTGGACAGGTACAAATACAGGTAAACCAGCTAAACCCCTGTACCTGCTGTTACCTTTAGAAACAGATACAGATCAGGACCTGTATTAAAACCGCAAACCTCTTTACCTGATATTACGTTTAGACACATATGTAGGTCAGGGCCTGTTCCCAAACCTCTGTACGTGTTCCTGATTGTCCTGTTTATGTACTACGCAGCCCTCCCCAGGACGCCGTGTCGATGAAACCCCATTAAGCGGCTCCTTGCACAAACGATTGGCCTCAGACAACGGCCAATGATGTCGTCTGACCGCCGAATGATGCGATCAATTTGCACGGCACCGCTCAGGACCCAGGAGGCCGGTCACAGGAACGGCGGCGGCATTGAAGAGATCCCGTTTTTAATTGGGTATAACAAAATAAAAAAAAGAAGGGAAACTAGACAAGAGAGACAGGAGGTTTCTTAACTATTTTCTTTTTTTTAACTTTTCGATGTTATTGAAACATAGACAAAGGAAAGGAGACAGAATAAGGATGTATCAAGCTACCCACGACAGGTTTACTGTCCAAGTGCTTCCACCAACCCACTCCTGCCAACTTGACACATCAAAATAAAATAATGACATAAAAGACAGACATTTCAAGGTTGATACAACGGAACGAGGGGTTAAAAACGCAAACGCAGTTTTCCCCCTACGATCTTCGCCCAATGAACTGAAGTGCACCATTTAGCTAGGAAAGCTGTCTCGGCAAGGCGTACGGAGGCTAGAGGTCCTCAAGTTCTCCACGCGCAGCGAGGCCGAAAATTACTTCGGTGCACAGCAGACGTCTTGGCCTGACCCTGTGGTCTGATAAAAGGCTTTGTGGACCACAAGACAGACGGCACGTTTCACGAGGAACAAATGTTTTCTGTCAAACAGACGAGATCTAAAGCAGGCACGATTTGATGAATGGTATAGTATTTGTCTCAACCATCACAAACTCGTTCTTGCACGAGGCCATGCACCTGTACAAGTCTTCTCAGTAAGACTTCTAAGTTCTAGGCCGTTCTTGTCTTTACTTTGATGCCCATTGCGAGCCATTCGGTATAGCCTTGTGTGTTTCTCCGTTTATATATTGTCATGCTAAATTCCATTTGCCACACAATTGTACAAATCAGTGTTGTACAGCTTGTACATGCTGCGAGGCTGATTTTCTTGAAGTGATATAGACAATCTACCGACGAAAAGAGCCTAGGACCACAAACTGTTTTGTAGATGAGGGAAACACGAGGAAAAAATGTTTTCTGTCAAACATACGAGATCTAAAGCAGGGCAGATGTAATGAATGGTATACCAAAGAAAAGCAGTTACTCAAGCAACTGGATATTTTGGAAACGTTCAGACGTTTGATGGAGCATCCTTTCGTGGGACGAAAGGTAGTGGATGCTATCTGAAAGGTCTGACCGTTTCCAAAATCATATCCAGTTGCTTGAGTAACTGCTTTTTGGCGTATCTTATTACCTGGATGTCTAACCTTCATCGACGGATGGATGGTATAGTATTTGTCTCAACCATTAGAAACTGCTGCACTTGGACACAAAGTGCTGTAGACAGTCTACCGACGTGCCGAGGACCACGAATTGTTTTTTAGATGATGGAAACGATGAGTAAACCATTACTCGCTTATGCTTGAAATATTTCAGTAAACCATACCTCTGTTAATTATTACCACAAAGGCTCAAACGCGCAGAATGCATTTCAAAGTCAGCAAGTTCGTGAGACGAATTGACCCAAATAATGAAGTATAGATCTCGGAGGTAACTTAAAGCAACTGTGTCCGATTTCACCTACTCAAGGCTAAAACGTATTGTCAGTTATGCGATACCGCTGCGGCTAGCGCTGGGGTGCAGCTACCAACAGAAATACTGCAAGGACATGAACGGCAAGTAGAGAAGAGTGCAACAATCACACAAAGCAATGAAGACTAGGGAAATGAAGATTTAGGTATTTGAAAATCTGAACCAAAGACATTGTGAAAACTCGAGCGTCAAGAGATGCAAAAAATCCTACATTTTGGCTGTGACCTGGATGTTTTACTCACTCATAGCTAAAATGCAGGGCAAGAAGAGTGGCCAGGAAATTACGACAATCACACAATGCACAAAACAATTGAAACTAGGGAAATGATGTTAAAGGTATTCAAAAATCTGAAACAAGTATTGTATAAACACGAGTGTCAACAGATCCCGAAGCTCTCACATTATAGCTATGATCTAGATGTGTTACCATTTATGTTGTACAGTACTGTATGTTATTTCACTCAAGCAAGGACATAAACGGCAAGTAGAGCAGTCGCACAAAGCAATGACGATCAGGGAAATGACGTTTGAAGTATCTGAAAGTCTGAACCCAAAGTATTGTGAACCTCTAGCGTCAACAGATCCCGAAGATCCTACACTGTGGCTGTGACCTGGATGTTTTACCCACTCATAGATAGAATGTCTTGTCAATTATTCTATACTGCACCAGCGCTGGAGTGTAGCAACCAACTGAAATACTATAAGGAAATAAATGGCAAGTAGTTGAGTATTTCAAAGACTGAAACAAAAGTATTGTAAAACTGGGAGCTTCAAGAGATCCCAAAGCTCCATGACCAGCATTATAAGTCTTATAACTGTGACCTGGATGTTTTCCCATCTATCTTGTCTGTTATTCCTCCATCTCAGTCAGGGCCGTCCCAGTACATACAGGCATGCCTGAACAAATGTGAACAGTCGCTCCGCTAATAAACTGCCCGACCCAGTTCAGCGCACAAGGCACGGCCCGACAAATAGCTTACTCCTCTGCGTCGCAGTGCCGTAGTCATCGGCAGATACCGTGATGAAGAGGGACGGTAAGAACATGTAATATCGCTTGTAGATGTACCTAGGCAAGACCAACTTAGCGGATTCTTTTGAAGCTGTGGAAGATGCCGGAATTGGTAAAGCAGAAGTGCACTTACCTCAGACAGGGAGGAAAGCAGCAGACCTCCACACGACTTGCCTGTCATGGAACTGTAGGTACACTGGTGGTACTGGTGTGCAGTCGTGGCTCTGCAAGGGGTTTTGAGGCTCCTCTATGGCGTGCAAAGCACAGAGATAGAATGAGCGTACCTGTGATTGCGTAGCCCCTTTATGCTAGAAAGGCTGTATAAGAAATGTAGCATTAACCGCCCTTTTTACTTATTAACATGGGGTTTTAGGCGTATTGTGGAACTGGATGTACAGTTTCCCTGAAAAACCCTTCACACACCCTCCAGATAAGTGAAACGCGAACGGAATTTGTAAGTAAATAATTGGCCCATCGTCGGACAGACGACAAACACCACCGCTATATAAAATATAGATGCACGCTCCGCGGCACACAGCATGTCTGCTTTGCTGAGTGCTTCACACACTGTCACATTCATAACCTTCTCACGACCAACCAACCGTTGAAGATTTGATTTGATTTAACTATATAAACAAATATACAGCCAGGACTACCCAACTAGCCGGAGGCTATTATAAAAGGCTAGTCCTCATAACTGGACAGTAAACAATTATAAACAATTAACAACGTCGGTTACAATTCAGATACATTAACATAGGTAACAGATAAATCATAAAATAAAGGTTAACAGATTAAGGCCACGTCTACATTTCTATAAGAATCGAATCGAATTTGAGCTAAGTTTGAGTCACATTTGACATTCGAACATTGACAACCTACTGCCGAACACTAGCCAACACTAGCCGACCTTGCTCGCGAACTACTCCCAACCATGGTTGGGTGGAGTTCGGCTAGTGTTCGGGATATTTGTGACAGGGGCTTAAAGCTTACTGCGATATAAATTATAGATGCACGGTCCGCATGCTTAACAGAATTTCTATCTCCACTCACAATAGTGTGTATGTACCTGACTATAACGCGAATTTACTTGCTTTAAGAAAAACCAGGTCAATTTGGGTGGGTTCGGCTAGTGTTCGGGAGACCATATTCAGCTATGTAGGACAGGGACTTAAAGGCATCAAATGCAGTGTTTAGGGCTTGGAAACCCTATTTGTCAAAGTCAATATTTTAGTCACTTATCTACATACTGAGTTGAAACCACACTATCCCAATGTATGTTGACCCTCATGAAGCAAAAATACCCAACATTCTGACAGAAAATGGTTACTGGAAGGGCCCTTGGCTGATTTTAGGGTACCACCCAGAAAGTAAAGGACTCATCTTGGGGTTTGTATCTGCAGTTTTAGATACCCGAAGTATGAAATAATGATTGAAATGTGCTAATGTGAAGCAGTATGTGTCAATATCACAAAGATTGCCTTATTCAGAATATTTCCAGTTTTGCTGCTATGAAATCGCATTGGATGCCTTTAAAACGTATATATACGTACTTCTATATGAAATATAGATACACGGTCGGCGACACACAGCTGGGTGCTTAACAGAATTCCTATCTCCGCTCACAATATATCTGCTTATATCGTGGATTTGCTTGCTTTAAGAAAATCTAGGTCAATTTGAGCTGCGCAAAGACCGTATCGGTAACGTGCTGTAAAAGGTATTACTGACAAGACTCAAAGTAAAGCAAGCTACATGTATCAATAATAGTCAACGTGGTTTTCGAGATGTGTAGTGCTGTGTGTGTGTGTTTATGTGTTTGTTTGTGTGTGTGTGTCTGTGTGTGCGTGTCTGTGTGTGTGTGTCTGTCTGTCTGTGTGTGTATGTTTATGTATGTGTGAGAGAGATATAGGATCCAACCACCCGCAACCACCCGCAAAAAGAACATCCAACGAAATGAAAACAAGTTCATCAATCACTTTACTCATGAGAAAACGCTTTGTCTGTACCGCCTCTACCGTTTCACTGCCATGAATTTCTCTTCTTTATTACTAATGATTCGCATTGTGAGTAAGGTAATAACACCATGCCGGAGAGCTAATGCAATGGCAGTCTTCAGGGAGATTAGTACTGATTCTCCACCATTGCCTGCTGTGTCCAGAACCGTGCTTTCTCCCGAATCCTGCTTTCTAATCTAAGGCAAATTCACGTTCTTGAATACGCGAAGACTATCCAGACCCACTGTGCATGTTCCTTACCCTAACCGATTTAGGAAAAGAGCTACATACTACTATACTATAGTACACAGGCACGGTTCTGGATACAACAAGGGTTAGGTTCAGGCACGGTTGTGGATTATCTCCACGTATCCAAGAACGTAGATTCACCCCAGCCACAGTTCTGGATACGCCTGAACTATCCAGAACCGTACGTGGTTGAGCATGGTTCTGCATGAAGCACAGTTCTGGATACAACAATGCCCCATGATGGTGTAGGTCTTTGTTATCAGAAAAGAAAGCATGTGGCGCTCCTCGGCCCGAATCAGGTGTCCCAGTGGCAGTCTGGGTCCGTTGGAGTAGCCGCTCTGTGACGTCTGTCTCTTCCAGACTGTTACAAGCCCATACTGACCCTATTTCATGGATGACGTCGCTTTAACGTCCCAGAACAGATGCCAGCGCGCGAGGAAAGGAAAGTTACATGCAACCTACAATATGTGGGACCCTACACCATGTGTGGGGTCGTGTGGCGTAGCGGCAGCGTTCTCGACTCGGAACCAGAGGCCCCGGGTTCGAGTCCTGACATGCCACCGATCTTGTGCCCTTTTGAAAGGCACTTTACACGACTTTCCTCACTTCGCTCAGCTGTACTGTCCCTGTGTTGGTGGCGGCATTAATATAAGTAGAAAAAAAACTTGAGTGTGCCGTCACCACGTCTTGTGATTACATGTTTTGGAATAAAAAAAAACCTACAATAACAAGATGAAAAAATGTTACATCTGTGATCACGAAGGTTGGAAAAACAACTGTACCCAGAAAACACAAAAGAACAGCAAGTTCTTTGTCTTGTCTAGGAACAGTATATAGACACGTTCGCCCATTCATTATATTGTAAATGTGCTTTTACGGTTGTGTCGCAAGGTGTAAAGAGAACTGAGGCCACAAAACATGGAACAGCACAAAATGGATCACTCGTTCTCCCAGGAAGTACTTTGTTGTCTTATCTCAGAATAATAGACACGCTCGCCCATTCAACTTCTTGTTCTGAATGTGATTTTACGGTTATGTTGCAATTTTCGACGGCGGCAAATTTGTCTGAAAACCGGCAAAAAATCGATGCACACACGCGCAGGTAGACGCCGCCCACGAAATCACTTCAGTACGGCTCAAAGTACCTTCCGGCACAATAGACCGCGTTGCTTTATTGTACCGTACGTGTGAGACACATCATTTCTCGGCTCTTCCATCCCTCCAGTGTCTAATGGATGCCCTGCCATATATTATTCTTCTGAACCACCGTCAGACATTCATTTGCTCTTGACTATCTGTACCAACTGATAATTATCATGCCAAATAGTTGCGCTGCTAAGGTGTTTTAATTTGTGGACCAGTAACTGGAACTATTTTATCTTTTACTAGTATCTGTTAATCCGGCAAATTTTGTAAAGATGTTCGTGTTCTAGTGTTTTACATGTGAATATGTCTCTTACCGAATTTGCTGTCATGTCACAGCACAATATTCAGCCATTCTGGCTGCTATGTTTGTGACAGTGTTGAAATAGACCATTTACACAATACAACGCGTTGCTTTATTGTACCGTACATATGAGCGTACATGTGAGACACGTAGTCATCTCTCTGCTCTTTCATCCCTCCAGTGTCTGATGGATGCCCGAGTTTCCCACCTCCCCATTAGTAACACAATGCCGCCGCTCTTAGGGAAATCCTACGAGCGCCATTACTCCTACCCGCTGGATACTAGGGGATGGAGATGGCACTTATTTCATACAGGCTCCTTTCCTCCAGACGGCGGTCGTTTAAAGACAAATATTGGATAAACATGGTCCAAAAACAAAAGATGCCTGAGTTTTGACATCAAAGTGATGACGACGGTTGTAAAATGAACTGGATCCACAAAACCTAGGACAAAAAAAATCAACACAAATAGATCACTCATTCTTGTAGTAAGTACTTTGTCTTGTCATAATCATAGGCACAATCGCCCATTCAATCTTTTTCCGTGAATTTACGGTTATGTTATTTTACTGTTATTTTTGGCGGCGTCAAATTTGTCTGAAAACCGGAAAAAACACAACGCCGCCGCTATGAGGGAAATCCTACGAGCGCCATTACTCCTACGGCAGGTATATCTTATGTATGACATCATTTGCAGACCTTAAATCTAATGCGAGAGGGCGAAGACAAAACAAGATGGGCAAAAAAAGTTGCCCGTCTTTTTTTCGATGAAATGGTTTGATGATGATGAAATGGTTTATTGAGAATTAAAACACTGACAGCCTTACATAGGCTGAATTGTGATTCTTTAACAATTCAATGCCATCTAAGACTCATATTGACAACATTATAGAAAATGGATTATAACAGACGGAAGGTGGGTACAGTCAGTCAATATTAATTCAAACTAGAATTCCGAGATCTCATACCTCCATGAAATATGATCTTGATATGTAAATGTAAATTTCTTCTTTAATTGTGTAAATGACCTCTGCATTAACATGATATATGCATCGTGATGTATGTTAACTTTTGATTAACTTACAGATGTCCCAAGTATGACATTCTCATCATTCACCATTACGAAATCATAGAATTTCCGCATTAATTATGCAAACTAGGTCATCATTTGCATAATTAGTATCTGTTGAAGTTCCACCTGCCATAGGTTACATACATTACATGTATGTAAGTGGTATAATGTAAAACACTGTAATTATAGAATTTCCTCATTAATTATGCAAATTAAGTCCTCATTTGCATAACTTTGCATTTAATTATGTACATCTCTCTCTCAGCTACCTACACACCAAAAATAATGAAAATATGTTGTTCCTGTCTGGACTTGTTGGCTTTTAAACATTTTGCCAGAAAGTGCCCTGCAGTTCCAGAACAAGCCGCTAGGGGGCCCAAACTCATATGACTTCTTCCCAAGCACGAGAGCTACCTTCCATCAAAATTTCATGACCCT